GAGGCCGCTCGTTTACGAGTTTATAGAGGACAGTGATTAATTTACATCTTGTAGAATTGAGATACAGAGAACGTCACTGTAAACTCTAACAGCGGCGCAATTTAAATATTAATTTATGTCACTTGAGCCTAATTTTGTAGCAGCGTTGTTAGCATGTTAGCCTCAACATGTTGATTAAAACTGAATCTTGTCTTCCAGCTCCAAAATGGTGCAACGCCTCACTTACCGCCGTAGGCTGTCCTACAACACGGCCTCTAATAAAACCAGACTGTAAGTGAGCTGCTCTCAGACTGGATCAAGTCTGTTTTAGCAACCTGGTGATGTGATCCTCCATGTTGGTCTGCAGGTCCCGGACTCCTGGGAACCGCATTGTGTACCTGTACACCAAGAAGGTCGGCAAAGCCCCCAAGTCGGCGTGTGGCATCTGCCCCGGGAGGCTGCGTGGAGTAAGTAAACACGCTGAGCCACAGGGACGGCATCGAACGTGATGTTTTGCGGTTTTATTTTGAAAAGTAACCACTTCCGGTTGGTGCCTTTTTCCATGATCGGATATTTTTCACAGTTGCAAACCTTCAAATTAAACCCAGCTTTGAATGAGTCAAACTAACTGGGCTGAAGAACTTATTTCCCAGTTAGTCTGTGGTAAAGTTGTCTTGTATGAAACCAGTTTGTGATGATGAAAAGTTTGCTTGATTATATAAGCATTAAAACTATTTCTCCAGAAAAGTTGCAATAGAATGTTTTACACAAGTTGTCGGCCATATTGGCCCAGCTTTAGATAACTGTCCCCTAAAGATAATTAATTTAGGCAGTTCCCAGATTTACACGCGCTTTTATGTTTAAAAAAACAAAAGGGATTAAGAAAATGTGCACATTTATTGGCTTTTTTAGTTATTACTGCCCATGTGCAACATCTGAAAGGTTCATCGCCATTTCTTCTATTCAGGTTTGGACTTTAAACTTGCTTTTTATTGAGTTTAATATCCAAACGTATTAATGTTTAGAAAAGATCCGTGGAGCCCTGTTCGTTTGACAGAGCAGCAAACTAAAAATACTTTCAGTAAAAGATTGATAAAAATGTCGGCTTTTAAAAGAATTGAGCATCAGCTGTAAATTGAGTTTTCTGCTGATCTCGGTGTTAAATTTTTATGTTGGAATAAAACCCAGTTTCCAAATATTTAAGTTCACAGCTTCCACAGCGTTTTCCTAAACCGAGCGGAGTTTAGGCTTTTTTGTTTTTCCTAAAATGCACAACACGGTCCTTCGCTTTTGAAATATTAATATCTTGGAGCGTTATGAAGGCGGTGCAGGAGAGATGAAAAAACCCAAGAACAACTCTTTCATCCTTAGCGTGGCAATAAGGTGGTGAACCACAGCCGAGACTGTTCCCGTTGGTCTTATTGTGAAATATTGTTACAAATTACCAAAAGTTGTTAAAAAACAAGTAGAACCTGAGGAGGTGTTTGAGTCCGGCCCACCAGGCACCTGGATGTGGGCTCAGATGTTTGGGTTTTGTCCAGTTGGGCTGTTCAACGTGGTTTTGGGTTAAAGTCGGACCGTCCTCGTGGTTTTTCTCTGACCAGTAACGGAGCAGGTCTGTGAAGTGGACCAGTCTGTTTAAAGGTTTGGGTTTGTGCTTGTTCAGTTTTACAGATGAATCTGGAAACGGCTCTTTCAGATTTAAAGATCGTTCCCACAGGTTTGTTTTAAACAAGTTTGTTGACAAGTAGGAACTCATTTCAACAATAAAACAGCCGTTTGTCCTGATTCAATATAAAAACAAAGAGTTTTTAAATCGTGCTCGTTGTTCAGTTACATAGTTTTATCTGCTGGATGTGAAACTTCTTGGGTTCAGTTTGGAGCTGGAGCTGCTTTGTTCTGGTGGGAACACCGATCACTTCTTCTCTTCCATGTTAATGATGTTTTCTGAGCTGCGTTACATCTTGTGCAACGTTACAGAGAAACGTGTTTTTGTTAATTACCATTGATTAATGTTCGTCACCATCTTCTGTTATTTGCATCCAGGTTGATTTTATTATAAGACTTAAAGGTTTCTTTAGACCACACTGTTCAAAATGCACTTTCTGAGCTGTCGAATCAAAACATTAGTACTGACAACTTTTAAGAAGTTGGAACAGAAATTTCAAAACAACTCGTTGGTGTTTTAAATGTAAATGGACGGGGGTAGACATGAGGAATATTTCCACGTTGTCCAGTGGACACCTTTGAGACCAGAACTGGTTGTCCGTAAACCGTTACCATGACTCCCTGCTGTGGATGACAGATGTTGCTGTGGATGACAGATGTTGCTGTGACCGTTTTGACTACGGACTCAGTTTGAGCCTGTTGTTAATCGCTCGTGCTGTTTTTTAAGGTGATGGAGAAACTGTACAAACCATTTCTGTCCAGTTTGGACTGATGGTTGTTTTGTGTTCCAGATTCGTGCCGTCAGACCTCAGGTTCTGATGAGGCTCTCCAAGACCAAGAAGCACGTCAACAGAGCGTACGGAGGGTCCATGTGTGCGAAGTGTGTGCGCGACAGGTGAGACAGGACTGTTGTCGTGTCTGCGTCTGCTGAGAGTCGCGCTGTTCAACGTTTAACGTGTTCAACCGACAGAACTGCTGAATCACACGTGACCTCTGCAGCGAAACGAGTCACGATGAAGATTATTTTTTTATTTTTCAAAAGCTTGAAAATGACATTTGTTTTATAATTTGGTGATATATCACCTGGCATCAACCTGGTTTTATTAGTTGAATCTAGAATGATGTCATCAGTAAATCCAGCCCTATACATGTAAAAAAAAGAAAACCCCAAGCTTCATAATGACTCTGAGCACTAAACGAAGGGATTTCCAGATGCTACAGCAGCTGGCAGAGAAAAATGGTCAGTTTTGTAAGGAAGTAAAAAGTATTATTTCTGAAGACAGCTGTTAATAAAACATCAATGTAAATGATTTTATTTTTGCAGCTTTAGTCACATATTTGACTCATTTGATAATTATGAGCTCTTGTGTGTTTTTTGTTTTATAAAGTTTGTCGTTTTAAGATGGAAGTAATTAAAGGGATGGTGCAGGCCTTGTGATCTGGACATTTTGTGAATAGTTAACACTTTACCTAAAGTTTTAGAGAAACTAAATACAATTCGTACCAGATGGACGAGCTAGCAGCTAGTTTGAGCGAGATGGAGACTAAAGTGAATTTCTACAAGTGTTATTTTATAAACTTTTAGTCTGGTCATTTTTGTACTTGGTGCTGATGCTAGCAAACTTTTCTTCCCGTGGGTCCCCAAGCTGCACAGGAAGTGCTACAGCCAGCTGCTGCTGTCAAGAAGTACACATATTTATGTAAAGTAAAGTCTATGTTGTCAAAAAGTTGGTAAGGTTTGTATGAAGTGCTACATTTTAAAAATGCACAAGTCTTTGGTTGTAGCCCCGCGCTGATCAGCTAGTCAGTCTGTTCAAAATATATTTTTTTGTTTCATAAGTTTGTAGGGGGTGGTGGGGGGGGGGGTGTCACAAAATTAAAAGTAAAAAAAAAAACAGTTAAACTGGTGAGAATTAAATTTGTCCACCTTTGTTCATATCTGCAGCAGGTAAGATGCTGTTTATCGCGTCACCACAGAACTTGCTTCAGATGATCTGAACTTTCCCTTTTAAAGCGAAAAAACGAGCGCGCACGTTTCACATGCACACCTAAAGTTTGTTTCTTGGCTTCTCAGGATCAAGCGTGCCTTCCTGATTGAGGAGCAGAAGATCGTCGTGAAGGTGCTGAAGGCGCAGGCACAGAGCCAGAAAGCAAAGTAAAATGTGTATTTGTATTTCCACAATAAAAAAATGACAAACCGGTCACTTTTGTGTTTTTAATTGAAGTGTTTAAAGATTTAACACATTTTTGTCTTCTTTATTTGGTACATCTGGGTCCTGTTGCACCAACAGTGCTATGATTTATGTACGTACTGGAACATTTAGGCACCTACACTTAAACCAGTTAGATTTTACAGGTTAGAAGTTTATCTTTTACTTTAATATCAAACTCCTTTCTGAATCATAAATTAATGTGAAAATGTTGTATTTTATGAGAGAAACTGGTTCCCTGTGATTGGTTATGATGGCCTTTTAGTATTTAGGAGTGATTGCTGCACTAGTTCTGATCATTCATGCGACTTGATCACGAATTACTCCAATAAACTCGAGGAGTTTTGTTTTTATGAAATGTTGGGAACCCTGAAATTAAGAGGCGGGGGTTTGGGTTACCGCAGATAATTTCTTTCAGCTCTGCAGGCGTCACCACCGTGAGTGAACTCGAATAGATTTGACTACTTTACTCGGTCCTGACCCACAGCCCCCCCTGGGTTAAACAAGTTTTTATCAGCCTGAGTAAGTTAAATGCATTGTGACACAATTTATGCTCGTCAACTTTTAAGTCAAAATGGAAAATTTGGAGGTAATTTTAAAACTTTGTTTGGATTTGTATGACCATACAAAAGTTTTTCCATTATGATTCACATTTTTCATGATAGGTGTTTGAAGTTCATAAAGTTTGTTTTTTATATATATATTGGCTGGACATGGTCACCAGTGACCCCTGCGACCCGAAAAGGAAGAAACTGGTAAAGATGATGGATGTAAAATATAAATATTTACAACAGAAGTGATTCTACTGTTTAAAATCACCTTAACATATGACGGCTTCTGTCAAGTATTTCAAATATATAGAAAGAAATTGTACATGAATATCAGAAACATTACAAAAGCACAAAGATGGATATTACACAATTAGGATTACAGTAGGAAAGAAGACCATTAACCATTTCCGGTGTACTGTCGCTTTAAGACTACGTCACGTAAAGAACGCAAATGAAATATATATATATTTTTATGTATGTATAAAATATATATATATATAATGAAAGTGATAATATATTAGCCATCAGGTAAATCGTTCAAAGCGCACATTTAACAGAAATATATAAATAAATCCGTTGTACTTCCGGGACACGTCACCGAAGTTAAACGTCCAGACGGACGTCACGTCAGCGGCTGCATCTCTTCACGAGCAGGTTTTCACATCATGGAGACTTTATACAGTGTTCCGTTCACTTTGCTCGAATGTCCGAATGTAAAACTGAAGAAACCGTCATGGCTGCACATGCCGTCGGCCATGACCGTGTATGCAGTCGTCATCGTGTCCTACTTTCTCATCACAGGAGGTAACGAAGCTAACAGCTAGCTCCTCTGAGCTCAACTTGTTTATCGTTTTACAGCTGGTGCGCTGCTTTAATTCATCCTTTCATCTGTTGAATGTGGGTAATTTGTAAAACCTTTTGTTTGTGTGTCCATAGTAAATCGGAGGGAAACTGTTTTCCTACATAAACAGAACTAAGTGTAGCTTGGTTTACCAAAAAATATATATATTTATGTTCTCTTAAATATTTTCATTATTATTTTTGTCTTCCTAATAATGGTGATGGACAGATGAAGTTATTTTTGAGCACTGATTTTAGATAATGGGTCATTTCTTGAGGTTTCAGTGGTCAGTAGCGCCCCCTGCTGACCAGAAGGGTTACGACAAATCATTGCAACATTTATTTAACAGCTGACGATTATCTATTCTTTTTAAACTGAATCAACACAAAATGTTTATTTTGTCGATGCATTTGCCGTTTATAAGAAAAGTGATGGTCCTGTACAACTAAACTTATAAACGCAGAGGGGTTTTAAAGAAACCAGATTCCAGTATTTGTACGAAAAGGTTTTTGCCTTAAAGCACAAACTTCCTGCAAACTAGTAAACAAATGGCACGCTTTAAACCGAAAACTAAAATTTGTTCTTAAGCTTTGAGGTTTTTTTTATCGGTCCACTAAAAGGTACCAGTGGACTGCTGCTGTAATGAGAGAGTTTCTTTATTGTCATTCGCACCTCATGTGGTGGAGCGAAATTATGTACACAGGGTCCCAGTTACATCCAACAATGAAATGTAAAAGAAAAACAGTAATAACATCTAAGATATGAACTAAGAAAAACCAACTAAATATCTAACAGTCTCAGGGTAGAAGCTGTTCCTCAGTCTAGTGGTTCTACACTTAATGCTCCTTAACCTCCTTCCTGAGGGGAGTGGGTCAAAAAGTGTGTGTGCTGGGTGAGTGGGGTCCTTCATGATGCAGGTGGCCCTCTTTCTGCATCTGGAGGTGTAGATGTCTGATGGTGTGGAGACTGACTCCGACAGACTTCTGTGCAGCCTTCACCACTCTCTGCAAAGCTTTTCTTTCTGCAGCTGTGCAGCCTCCATGCCACACGTTGATGCTGGAGCACAGGATGCTCTCCACTGCACACCTGTAGAAGGAGGTGAGGACTGAGCTTCCCAGACCAGCTCGCCTCAGCCGTCTGAGGAAGTAGAGTCTCTGAGTTTTCTTGATCAGGCTGGTGGTGTTGTTGCTCCAGCTGAGGTTGTCATTCATGTGTACACCCAAGTACTTATAGCTGGAGACCACTTCCACCACAGATCCTCTTATGTTCAGGGGGGTGTAGGTGTTTTTGTTCCTTCTGAAGTCCACAATCATCTCCTTTGTCTTCTTCACATTGATGTGAAGGTTATTCTCTCTGCACCAGCTCTCCAGGTGTTCCACCTCCTGCCTGTAGCTGGACTCATCATTGTTTGTGATGCATCCCACCACCGCTGTATCATCTGCAAACTTTACAATGTGACAGCCTGGATGGGTAGCTGCACAATCATACGTGAGCAGAGTAAACAGGAGGGGGCTCAACACACATCCCTGAGGAGAGCCAGTGCTGAGGGTTATGGTGGAGGAGGAGAGGTTGTGGATCCTCACTAACTGTGGTCTGTTTGTTAAGAAGTCTAGTACCCAGTTGCAAATGGAGGATCTTAGTCCTAGTGTGGATAGTTTGTCCATCAGGGTTTGGGGGATCACGGTGTTGAAGGCGGATGTGAAGTCCACAAAGAGCATACGGACGTAAGAGTCTTTCTTCTCCAGGTGGTTGAGCGCAGTGTGGACCACAGAGGAGATGGCATCCTCTGTTGATTGGTTCTCACCGTATGCACTGATGAGGGTCCTCGTTGATGCTGATGGTTGTTTTGATGCGAGTCATAACCAGTTTTTCGAAGCATTTAGTGACTAATGGGTTGAGGGCCACTGGTCGATAGTTATTCAGACCAGTCACTGTTTGGTGTCCATAATATTTCAGCTAAACTACAATAATGATTTCCTTTGAAACACTTAAAAATAAATAAACACTAAAGCATCTAACTAGTTGTTAACTTGAACAACAACACACAGTGGTCAGTGTGTGAATATTAATTCTGATTCGATAAGGTAAAATATTGTCTAATAAAGAATAAGAGTTGTTTACTTACAAATAATACAGGTGCATAAAAAATAGAATATCATCAATTTTTCTTGTCCATAATTTCAGAAAGTGAAACCCATATTACACATTTTAAGCCTTTATTTCTTGTAATCTGGATGAGTACGATTTGCGAATCGTGTAATCTTAAATTATATTAACTTTGTCAACTTTTAAAGTGGCATGTTTCATAGTGGTGTGTTCCTTAAGATAAGACTGGTTCATGTTCTCTGACCCACAGGAATCATCTACGACGTTATTGTAGAACCTCCGAGTGTGGGTTCCATGACGGACGAGCACGGACACCAGCGACCCGTTGCCTTCCTGGCCTACAGGTATGAACACCTGCCTTTCTGCTAGTGCACCTGAGCGGTTAGCTCTCGGCTAACTCGGCCTTTTGTTTTCCTGGCAGGGTTAACGGGCAGTACATCATGGAGGGGCTGGCCTCCAGCTTCCTCTTCACCATGGGCGGGTTGGGATTTATAATCCTGGACCGATCCAACGCGCCCAACATTCCCAAACTCAACCGCTTCCTGCTGCTCTTCATCGGCTTCGTCAGCGTTCTCCTCAGCTTCTTCATGGCCAGAGTGTTCATGCGCATGAAGCTGCCGTGAGTCTTTCTCTTGTGTGTCTGTTAGCGAAACGTCTCGTGAACCGCTGGAGGAAATCATCACTGCATCTACGGATGGCTGCCAAAACAAAATGGCTCTAGTTCTATCGGTTCTACAGATAATGAACCAAAACTGTGTGTGGTAGTAGCTGAGAGTCATCCTCAACACATGCTGAGAGCACGTGTGAAGTCAGGTAGAGCAGGGCTTTTCAACTGGTGGCCCGGGGGCACAATCAGGCCCACGGGTGTGCTCAGTTTGACCCACCAATGGGTTCATTTTTACAGTAGTCCCTTGATGATCATGGGGGCTAGGTTCCAGACACCCCCATGCTAGGTGAAAAATAAGTAGGAATGTTATTTATTGTAATATTTATATAGTTAAGGCTTTATAAACTCTTCCCACACTCTTGCAATGTTCTAAACTTTTATCATTTTAACAACATACGTGTACTGTACAGTAGCTACCACAAAATTTTGTATGGGGACTCACCAGCCTTGGTCCGGTTCTGGTCCGGTTCTGATCGGCTCTCTGCAGCCGTTGAGCACCAGCCGCTTTTGGAGAGAGCCGGACCTTTGGATAGCCAGCACAAAACCACACGACGATCCCGATCGAGTCAAAACAATCAAGGCAGATCCGGATGAAAAAAAAGTCCAGATGAGCTCCGGAGAAAACTCCGGACCTCCAAGCAACGCCTCCCCGCTCGAGGCCTCATGGGCCGGTGAGCAGCACTCGGATTGACCGATGAGGCTGGAAGTAGTCCCGGTCCGGTTCTGATCGGCTCTCTGCATCCATCAAGCGCTAGTCACTATGAATAAGGACCGAACTTTTTAGTCCGGTTCAGATCGGATCAAAATTTTCCCTCCATTTTGGCAGAAAGCAGCAGCTGGAAGCACTGTTGGCTTCTGGGTAGTGTAGTTGTTTTGACTGGCCTTACCGTATAAGCTTATTGAAAGAAAACTACAAAATGGCGGCGCCTGTCGGAAGTTTTTCCGTTAAATTTTTAATCTGTACCGTTCCAATCACGTGAATGATATTAAAGTTGACAATAGTTGAAAAACGGCAAGAGAGTCCACAAAAGTTGAACCGCAAAGTAGCGAGGGACTCCTGTAAAACTAATTTAAAATTGTAAAAGAAACTTAATGATAATGGATGTCCGGCCTCTGAGCAATTCAATTGAATAGTCCTGATTTAAAAGGTTTGACAAAAACAGTGTTAGCTCCGCCCCCTTTTGTTATATTTTTCCTGGTTTCACAATGAAGCTTGATTTTATTGTTTTATATCACTTTTATTTACTTTTTATTTTATATGCTTTTTGTTGTTGTGTGTACCATATCTGTATAAATGAAGATTGAATGAATAAAAGACGATGGGCGATATGCATTCAGGGAGTTTTTGTTCTACAGGATGTGATAAATAGATTTTTATGTTTAAATGTCTATTTGGTCTTTTCGTTTCAGAGGTTACCTGATGGGTTAAAGACGAACCAAAGTCGACAGACGGCTGCTGGGCGTGAATCATGTCCTCCAACAGGAAGTGACGTTCAGGTCGTGGATAAAGTTCAGTCTAAAATCATGGAGGACGAAAAAAGACCGACCTGCTCAGTCACATTAGCCTTTTTTTTTATTTTTACTTCCTTTCCCCCGAAATCTTTTTTTTTTTTAAATTGGTTTATTTTGCTCAAATCTCTTCTAACATTTCATCACTTTTTGTTTTCTTCTTCTTTGCTTTAATTTGCCAGAAATGTAGAGCATGAGATGTTGATGGAGGGAAAAGGTGAAGAAGTTCCGGAGTAGAACTTTGCGTTTTATTTTGATAGGTGCACAAAAACGTCTTTTTGTATAAAAACACCTGAAAAGGTCTTGAGCCTGTAACAATAGTGGAATTATTATTTTTTAATTTCCAGAAGTCGTTGTTCAGAGCCGTTTAAAACACATTTTTCTGATCATGTGATTTTCTTCGTCAGCGATCATGTTTCCAGTTTTGTTGTCGGCGTCTTTTGGTTTTTATTAAAACGGACGTTGTGTTCAGTTGTCGTTGTTTCTTGTCACAAGATGGCGGCAAACTTCCCTGGGCTCGTCTAATGAGAAACTGCAACACCACGTACATGTACTGTGTGTACATGTACTGTGTCAGAATATATTGTAGTTTAATCCAACTGAAATAATCCCCAGTAGATAAACTGTGTGTGGGACAACAAAGTATTTATTTTCTGATTATAGTCTCGTTTGTCACTCAGATCTTAACGGGAATAACTGAAACTTTTGTCAGATTGTTCTGAGACGAGACGACGTGTTCCTTTATAATCTCACTTCTTGTGCGCTTTTTATTTTAAACACCGGAACCTTTTGAGTTGTTTGAAGATAAAAATACACAAAAAGCCCGTTCAGTCTGTGTCAGAACGTTAGTAACTCATTAAAGACTTATCAAACAGATCCTGTTGGGTCGAGGCTCAGTAAAATAAAAGTACAATGACGGTTAATCTGAGGCAGATTAATTCAGATTATAGTACGCAATCACACTGGAAATGCTAAGAATTATTGATACATATTTAATCAATATTCAAACAGTAAATATTTAAAAACAAACCGCTTCAATTAAATTTGTTTTCATGATGAAATAAATTGACATTTTCAAATTCAAACTTCATATTTTTACAAATTTGTTGCTGTTGGGCACAAACCGTGCACCGTATCTGCAAAATCTCTTCAGAAAATGGAAAAAATACTAAATGAACTCTGGATCATCGTCCATAAATCCACAAACGGATCTAAAGAGCGACGGACAAAAAGATAAAAATGACAAACGGACGAGGTTCGTGTCTGATGAACACAACGTGGTTTATAAAGTTAGAAAACTCGTAATAAAGGTACAGTTCAGCTCTTTGAAGTGGGGCTGTTGAGTGAAGACGCGAACAAATGTCGTCTTGGGTCAAAACGAGTCACGAGGCCTCTGTCTTGAATCTAGCCTAAAGCTAAAACGGCTAAACTAATTAAAAGCTAAAAATAAAAACAGTAGCAAAAATATAAATGTAGATACATTGATGCTAAAAGGTCAAATCAACAGTAGCTCAAAATAAAAATACACACCAAATATCCTTAAAAGCTAAATGTAGCTACATTTTAGTCAAACATTTTCAAAAACTAAATGCTAAAAAGGCTAAACTGTAGGTAAAAGCTAAAATGGGTAGAGAAGCAAAAAGCTTGATGAAGCTAAACTAACTAAAAGCTAAAATGAGCACATTTGCTAAAAGCAAAAAGTAGCAAAAAGCTTAATATAGCTGAACTGTAGCCAAAAGTTAGAATTAACGAAACTAGATAAAAGTAACAAAAAAACAAGTGTAGCAAAAAAATAAATGTAGCTGAAATGTTGCTAAAAGCTTAAACTGGCAAAAGTAGCAAAACAGTAGCTAAATTAAAAAAAAAATATATATATATATATAATTTTTTTAAATCTGTCCAGAGGACCTGCCTTAGCTTCTTTTAGATTAAAAGCTAAATGCTGTTAAATTAAATTCTACCTTAAGTCCCAAAATAAAACAAAAAATAGCTCTAGAAAAAAGCAAAATAGTAGCTCTAACAATAAATCTAAAATGAACATCAGGAAACATTTGTTTTAAGAACAAAGCAATTTGTTGGAAAATTATTGTAAATAAAGTTAAATAATTCAAAAAGTTAAAACGGTACAATATCAAAAGCCTTAGCATGTTGTTCCCAATCAAGCCGAACTTCTTTATATATGAAAAAAGGCACCAAGTGTAAAGTAGTAATTTAAATTCAGAAAACAGCTGAATGTAGTTTCAGCTTTCACACCTGTTTCCTGTTTTATCAAAGATCCATCTACAACAGGTAAGATGTTTATTCTTCATAATTTTTAAATGAACCCCACTTCAGCAGATCTGAACAATCCCTTCAAGGTGACACGATGACTTGGTCATGAAACCTTTGAGTCCATTTATTCTGCTTCAAACGGACTCCGTTGTTTCTAAAGTCGTGTCAGCCGAGCGATGAGGTCGTCTTCATGTTCTGATGCGTTTGGTTTGGTGCTCAAGTCCTTCGTCTTTGTGGTTTAACTCTCCGTGTCCGTTTTCATCCCTCGATGCCTTCAGGTCGGGAAGAAAAGGAGCACAAATTAAAGTCAGTGAAGCTAAAACGTTCATGCAGCTGCTGAGAGACACAGTCACAGTTTCACCTTTCTTCGGCTGTTTTCGGTGTGTGTGTTCAGCTTTAGGCCCAGCGCCTCCTCCAGCTCTGCAGAAACACAATCCAGCATCAAGTTCTGTTTTCAAACAACGGCTCAGACGTGCAGGAGGTACCGTCTTGAACGAGGGAAAAGAGCACCTGTTAGAATGTGGTTGATTTTCTCCACCACCAGGTCGGCGTCCTCAGTCGTGAAGCAGAGCGGCGGCTTGAACTTCAGCACGTTACGATGAGGTCCGTCAGCGCTGAGGAGGACGTGCTGCTCCTTCAGCCTGCGACCAAACCGTACTCTCTTCAGTTAGAGGCAAGATGGAGGCCGACGAAGAACGAGTCGCTTTGATCAGATGAAGAGAAGCTGGAAGACTTCATTCTTCTTCTCTGATTTTAATGCTGGTAGCATTCATTGGTGCTATTAATGACACCTGTCTGCTCCATCCATCATTCATCCATCCATCAATCTATCCATTATCCATCCAAACAACCAACCATCCATCTATCTATCCATCCAACCAAACAAACAACCATCCATCCATCCAAACAACCAACCATCCATCTATCCATCCATCCAAACAACCAACCATTCATCTATCCATCACATCATCCATCCACTGGCCATCCATCCAACCAAACAACCAATCATTCATCTATCCATCTGTCATCCATCCAACTAAACAACCAACCATCCATCTATCCATCCATTGTCCATCCATCCAACCAAACAACCAACCATCCATCCATCCATCCATCCATCATTCATCAATCCATCCAACCAACCATCAATATATCCATTATCCATCCATCCTTCATCCATCCATTCATTCATCCATTATCCAATCATCTATTCATTATCCATCTGTCATCAATCCAGCCATTCATCATCCATCCATCTATCCATCCTTTATCCATCCATCCAACCATTATCTATCCATCCACCCATCCATTATCCATCCATCCATTATCCATTCATCATCCATCCATCCATCCATTATCCATCCATTATCCATCCATCCATCCATTATCCATTCATCATCCATCCATCCATTATCCATCTATCATCCGATCATCATCATCCATCCATTATCCACCCATCATCCATTCATCCATCCATCCAAGACTCATTTCATCTGCCTGTCTTCACTATCTCGTTGTTTCAGTCTCTACTCGGAGTTTTGCTCATAGGTGAGGGTAGGAACGTAGACCGACCAGTCAACAGAGAGCTTCACCGTGCAGCTCAGCGCCCTATTCACCACAATGGACTGGAACAGAGTTCACAATACTACTAACGTTGATCTGATCCATCTGTCGATCAGTCAATTCATTCTTCCCTCCCTCATGAACAAAACACAGAGATCCTTGAAGTCTTCCACTCTCAAACCAGAGAGGGTAATGCTGCATTTTCTGCCAGAAGACTGTGGCCTCAGATTAGGAGATGCTGATCTTTTCTTCTTTCATTTATTTCATTAGACTTACACCAAATAAAAGTTCCTGCATCATTTCTGTCGCCAAAGCAAATTTATAATTTATTAAACTTACTTATAAATGACTTCCTGGGCCTCTGCTGTAGCAGGAGTGAGTTTGACTCTGTCCTTCACAAGCTCCACCCCGACAAACAGACCCCGACCCCTGCAGAATGATGTCATGGCAGATGCACAAATATTCTCCAAAAACACTTTTTAAACAAAATCAGAAACGTTACATAACAGTCAATCAATCAATTCAAATGCAAAAAGGAATAAAACTCCATCATTTTTACAACTACTGGGCTAATTTTTGGCGTGGTAGTAGCTGAGAGTCATCCCAGACCAAGCACTAGTAGATCACACAACCTCTGCATAAAGGTGACAGCTGATGTCTTGGAGGAAGGCTAGTTTTACTAGCATGTATCAAAAACTACAACAAGTGAAATTCACGGTGAGAAACTATCATTTGAAGAAAATGGCGGCTGCAAGTCGTCTTAAAAACGTTGGGACAGCAGCAACAAAAGGCTGTAAAGGTACGTGATAAGAAACAGCTGGAGGAGCATTTAGCAGCTAGTCTGGTTAACTGGCAACAGGTCAGTAAGAGAACTGGGTTCCCTTGTTAAATATATGAGGGGAATTCCTGATGACATCATTCCAGACCAATAAAAATCAAGTTTTCAAATCGTCACTCTCATAAACAAAACTAGTTTGCTGCCAGGAGAAGAAATCCCATCCCATAAATCTTTAACCAGGATAATCACTAAAGGAAAAAAAATCATTGTAATGCCACTTTAATTGGTGATATGCGACTTATCCATGCTGCTGATTATCCATGCTGCTGATTATCCATGCTGCCGATTATCAATGCTGCCGATTATCCATGCTGCCGATTATCCATGCTGCCGATTATC